TAATCATTGAACTATATTATAATAATAATTAAAGTGGTTGTAAAGGGTCAAGGATTTTTTACCTTCGTCCATTCTATGCATGAAGGTAAAAAACCCTCTGTGTGCAGCAACCCCCCATATTTATCTAAGCCCTGTCTCAATCCAGTGATATGAATGAGAGCAGCGGCTCATTGGCTGAGACAGCAGAAGGAGCCTTTGGCTCCTACTACTGTCAATCACAGCCCGTGAGCCAATTAGGAGAGAGCTAGGAGGCAGGGCCAAGCTCGCTCCATGTGTGAATGGACTTACAGAGTTGCGGCTCAAGAGTGAGCCTGCTCGGGTGCCCCAATAGAAATCTGCTTGCTCTGGGGGCACTGGGCAGGAGTTAGGGGCCAGGAGTGCTGATGGCAGACCTGAGAAGAGGAAGATCAAGGGTGCTCTGTAAAAAACCACTGCTCAGAGCAGGTAAGTATAATATATTTGTTATTAAAAATATCACTTTAAATAATTAATCAGTTTTATGATCACATTTGTCTGGATCCTAAATTGTATGATTGCCTGGTCATCACACAGATCTACATGGCAATATTCTGGTGATCCAAAAATGAGCAGTTTTTTTGAATATTCTGAAAATGAGGAGAATTAGCAAATCATTGATATTAGGTTTGCCTTTATATTTATATGCAGATCTGTGTGACCAATCAAATCATCACAATAACACAATTAAACATCCAGACAACCGTGTAATAAATTGTTGTCGTGTACCTTGCTTGTGAGCCTGATGGTAGAGGAACTTGTACTGCTCTGGGTCAAGGGCCACTGAAGGTGGAGCAGCAACCACAAAAGCATGGCAGGGTTTGAGTGCCTGGTCAGTCCTGTAGTCTGTGTAGAACAGCTGGCACTTCGCTGGCAGATGGAATAGCTGTCGGTAGGTGGATTTCGTAGCAGAGTGGGCTGGCATCAGGATGTGCAGCGGAGCAGGCTGGTAGCAGGCGGACTGGCAGTACCCAGATGTCACGGTTTGACAGGCTGATGGTAGAGCAGGCTGGCTGCAGGCAGACATCATAGTAGGACAGGCTGATAGCAGAACTGAATGACAGCAGATAGACGTTACAGCAGAACAGATAGGTAGCAGAGCAGGCTGGCTGCAGGCAGACATCATAGTAGGACAGGCTGATAGCAGAACTGAATGACAGCAGATAGACGTTACAGCAGAACAGATAGGTAGCAGAGCAGGCTGGCTGCAGGCAGACGTCATAGCAGAACAGACAGGTAGCAGAGCAGGCTGGTGGCAGGTGGACTGGCAGTACCCAGATGTCACGGTTTGACAGGCTGATGGTAGAGCAGGCTGGCAGCAGGCAGACATCATAGTAGGACAGGCTGATAGCAGAACTGAATGACAGCAGATAGACGTTACAGCAGAACAGATAGGTAGCAGAGCAGGCTGGCTGCAGGCAGACATCATAGTAGGACAGGCTGATAGCAGAACTGAATGACAGCAGATAGACGTTACAGCAGAACAGATAGGTAGCAGAGCAGGCTGGCTGCAGGCAGACGTCATAGCAGAACAGACAGGTAGCAGAGCAGGCTGGCTGCAGGCAGACGTCACGGCAGGACAGGCTGGTAGCAGAGCAGGCTGGCTGCAGGCAGACGTCATGGCAGGACAGTCAGGTAGCAGAGCAGGCTGACTGCAGGCAGACATCACAGCAGAACAGACAGGTAGCAGAGCAGGCTGGCTGCAGGCAGACGTCACAGCAGAACAGACAGGTAGCAGAGCAGGCTGGCTGCAGGCAGATGTCACAGCAGAACAGACAGGTAGCAGAGCAGGCTGCCTGCAGGCAGACGTCATAGCAGAACAGACAGGCAGCAGAGCAGGCTGGCTGCAGGCAGATGTCACGGCAGGACAGGCAGGTAGCAGAGCAGGCTGGCTGCAGGCAGACGTCACGGCAGGACAGGCTTGTAGCAGAGCAGGCTGGCTGCAGGCAGACATCATGGCAGGACAGTCAGGTAGCAGAGCAGGCTGGCTGCAGGCAGATGTCACAGCAGAACAGACAGGTAGCAGAGCAGGCTGCCTGCAGGCAGACGTCATAGCAGAACAGACAGGCAGCAGAGCAGGCTGGCTGCAGGCAGACGTCACGGCAGGACAGGCTGGTAGCAGAGCAGGCTGGCTGCAGGCAGACGTCATGGCAGGACAGGCAGGTAGCAGAGCAGGCTGGCTGCAGGCAGACGTCATGGCAGGACAGTCAGGTAGCAGAGCAGGCTGACTGCAGGCAGACGTCACGGCAGAACAGACAGGTAGCAGAGCAGGCTGGCTGCAGGCAGACGTCACAGCAGAACAGACAGGTAGCAGAGCAGGCTGGCTGCAGGCAGACGTCACACCAGAACAGACAGGTAGCAGAGCAGGCTGGCTGCAGGCAGACGTCACGGCAGAACAGACAGGCAGCAGAGCAGGCTGGCTGCAGGCAGACGTCACGGCAGGGTCACGGCAGGACAGGCTGGTAGCAGAGCAGGCTGGCTGCAGGCAGACGTCACGGCAGGACAGGCTGGTAGCAGAGCAGGCTGGCTGCAGGCAGACGTCATGGCAGGACAGGCAGGTAGCAGAGCAGGTTGACTGCAGGCAGACGTCACAGCAGAACAGACAGGTAGCAGAGCAGGCTGGCTGCAGGCAGACGTCACAGCAGAACAGACAGGTAGCAGAGCAGGCTGGCTGCAGGCAGACGTCACAGCAGAACAGACAGGTAGCAGAGCAGGCTGGCTGCAGGCAGACGTCACAGCAGAACAGAGAGGTAGCAGAGCAGGCTGGCTTAGCTGGATGCAGGGTCAAACAAGCTGGGTCGGTAACAGATGGGCAGGTTAGGCATAAATGGCGGCCAAAAGAATAGTCGGATTAAAGGTCAAGGTCAGCAATGGTGGGGGCAGATCAAGCAGATACAGAAGGCAGAGGCAGAAGCAAGCCAAGGTCAATCACAGGTATCACATACGGGAACAGGCACAGGAATACCGGGGGAGCTGCAGATCAGACAGCATAGGCTAACAGAATTGCTGGGTTTAAATAGTCCCATTGGCAACAACATTAGCAGCAGTGGTCGCGGGTGCGCTCAATCACATGCGCAAACTCAGATGTGCACAATTATGCATAACAGAACGGGTACCTGCACATCTGTGCCTGCACAGCCATGTACCTTCCTGACAATTATATTATTCTTTACAGAGTGGACAAGTCTTATTAAATATGTTGTGGTGAACTGAGATGTTTGTGATGTTTTAAATCCAGGTCTATTCTCTCATCCTTTAATTTTTTTAGGCATAAACTGGTCTAAATCTTAATAGTTAATCCAACCTTGAATAACTACCTTTTTACATTCCTTATTAATATATACCCACCCTCAGTTTTCCTTTTCATAAGAACCATAGAAATTATCTTTGACTTTAATTTGATTTACTGTACAAGAGAATGATTATTGAAAATGAAAGCTGCTTCCATTTCTGAGTTCAATGAATGATAAAATATAATTTGTTTTAAAAACGTTCAAATTTAATTATCATGGCAAACTGTATAACAATACATTTATTTAATAAAGTAATTATTTCATTTCATTGTAATTTTCTAAATTTAGCATGTATTTTTAATGTCTAATTAATTTTAAAGTCTGAAAAAAATGTAATTTGCAAATAATTTGCAATGCTTAGTATCAGAAACATAATTTTATTTTTTTTTAATGGGATAAGTTCTTGAATAAATTGTACTTTTTATTTACACTAAAACTACATTTTAAATGATCACCATAGAACATAAAATAAAAAACAAAAAAGATCATTTTTACAAGACCATATTTCCAAAGAAAGCCCATAAAAAAATAATGAACAAGCCTGTAGTGGAAATTTTACAAAATGTTCACCCCTTCAACTTTAGCAGAAGCTTGAGGGGTGAAAAAATCTCCCAGCCCTTTCCAAAGTTAAAGGATAAGTTCGCCTTTTAACAAAAAATAATAAATGCACATTTTTTTTGAAGGTAATCAAAATGTACATTTACAATGTTTTTGTTTTGTGAGCCTGGAAAGCATTGTGCCAGCAATTAGCAGATTGCTGGTGCCATTCAGGACTCCTGCAGACCTGTCAGTGTATTTGTGTGCTTGTACCTCATAAGGGCAAGCAGATACACACAGACAGAAAGAATCAATGAACTACCACAGCTCTCAACAGTGCCGTGGTAGTTCATTGAGAACTACAAGCTGACAGCAGCAAAGACTGTCAGAACTTCTAGTTTTCCCATTAACAGAATACTGAGAATGAATGACTCGACCATGGAGGGAGCCCCGCATGGCCATGTTTTTTCTAAATTGTGACAGTTATCGAGGGTAGAGGTTCCCCCCCTAGCTGTCACAATGGGGGATTGATAGGGGTGGTGGTCAGTCCTTTCATAACATGTTACATCATGAATAAGGGTGTAACATGTAACATGTTTACAAAAGGTGAATTTATCCTTTAAACACAAAGGGAAAGACACCTTTACAATTGGGTGTGTTGCAGTACATTTTGAATGGTGCCCTAATTCTCTGTGTTTCAATGCACTACAACACATGGTAATGTGTGTACAGGATCAGAGAAGTGAATGGGACCTTATACTTAACCATTGATTTCAGGGAGTGGACTGCTATGGTCAATAATTCCAGTGCTGGCATTCTGTATCCTAACAGAATGCAGTTGGCAGGGGCAGACTGACACCTCATGGGGCCCCCGGGCAATAGGGGGTCATGGGGCCCCTGTGTCCTTGCCCAAACTCAAAAAAGCCTATGAAAATGGTATCAGGGGTATCTCATGGGGCCCCCTACTGACCCCGGGCCCTCGGGCAGTGCCCAAGTTTCCAAATGGTCAGTCCGCCCCTGGCAGTTTTATTTCTTTATGTTAGTGACTTCACTTCATTTTTTTCATGATGAACACTATTTAATTCTGCCATATATCTTTTATTTCAATGAAAAAACAGGTTGTTGTATATTATACTTATATCAGATTTTTTTTTGCAGGACTACCGCTTGAATATCTTTTTGCGACAGAAGTGGAATGACCCACGTCTTGCCTACAGTGAATATCCAGATGATTCTTTAGATTTAGACCCTTCTATGTTGGATTCTATATGGAAACCTGATTTATTCTTTGCAAATGAAAAAGGTGCTAACTTTCATGAAGTTACAACTGACAACAAGCTCCTAAGAATATTCAAGGATGGAAATGTTCTGTATTCCATTCGGTAAGTATCCATATTTGTCAAACAGCAACTACGCAAGTTTTACATTATTATGCAAAAGTATCAAAGATGTTAAATACTAATAATATACATGTTGCAGAATATGTAACTCTCACATACCTCCTACTTCAATTAAAAGGCAAATCAATCAATCAGTGAAGGGTCATATTTTCTTGAGTGCTTTTTCCATCAGCTTTATTGTATATGAAAGTTATGAAAAAGACCTAAGGGAAAAAATGGACATCATCACCATGGAAGAAATAATAAGAAATGATGTATGTAAATTGTATCCTTAGACTGTTGCTGAGCTGAATCACATGATATCATGCAGTGGCTACGTATTATATTATGCTATAAGTCATATTACACAGTTTCATTTAACAGCAGCATTCTATGTCATGAATATTTATGATCAGAAAATTGTGTTACAACACCCACTGATGGCATTTTATTTCACTCAGCAGAGACACATTGGGGTTGATTTAATAAGGTCAGATTGGCTGTTCACATTGCAAGGAAATTTTCTCTTAGCTTAGCGAATGTGGTAAAAATTCACTTTGCAAAGAATATCAAGTTAAGTGCAAGGAAAATTGTAAAAAAAGTTTTGTTTGCACATGAATGGATGATGAAAATAAGCAGAACTTAACCTCAATCACTAAATTAGAAAATCCCCTTTTAAAGTTCATAGCCTATTTGCTTTAACCTCCCTGGTGGTATTCCCGAGTGTAGCTCGGGGTAAACTTTCAGTACCAGAAGCGGTAACCCCCGAGCTACACACGGGAATACCTTGCAGCATTGCTCTGGGATTCCCTCCAGCACTTACCTTGTCCTGCGTTCCTACGATGTCCCCCCTGCAGCATCCCCAGCCATCTCTTCCGGCGAATGCCGGCATCTGTCTTCCGGGTTCCATTCCCTGTGATGTCCCTGTGAGGGCCGGAACCGGCGGAAGATTCAAAAATTTTAAAAGTGACATTCACTAAATACACTAAAATCTCATAGTATAACATTCCTGTATCAAACCATTTCACATACATTTTGTCCCTAGTGCTTTGTCCTGTGCCCTGCCTGCATTTTTACTGTTCTTTCTGCCTGGAAACTGAGAAACGTCCATGGCGTCCAAAAAAGCATCCCTTTAGGCCAAAAGCGGTTTTAGACCAGCTAGAGAACAGCGATAGTAAATTAGAACCACTTGCAGAATTGAGTGATAATGATTCGTGGGGGAAATTTGTCATCAGACACTGAAAATGATTCTGCGACTGAGCTCAGTGATGTGCGAACTTGGCGCTATATTTCAAATTTCAGTGTTTTTGGTTTGATTGTATTATTGAATTAAATTTATTATTATTATTATTATTATATTATTATTATTTTTTATGATTATTTATTATGTTATAATTTATGATTTCATGTTTCAAATTTTATCCGGGATGTTTACTAGACTCTTGTTCGGACAGATTTCAGTGAGTTATTCCTAAAAATTACAGGCCTACAATAAAAAAAATACATATTTCCATGCAAAAAAATGTACCGCTTTGAGCACAGAAATACTGACATGATCAGACCACTAGGGAGTTTAATAAATCAACTCCATTAGGTCACTCAGTGGGGGCAAACTATATACAGTATATTAGACAACATAATTTAATTCTCCAATACTATCAGCATCATATAATGTTGTAGTACCACTGACTCATGTCCCCCCCTCCCTCCCCAATCTTTGACAGCAGAATATTTATGGCACTGACACCCACCCCCCACACACAGTCACTGGTTGTAGGCTTAGCTGAGAGGATGCACAGCTGATAGTTGTGTATTGTATTTAGTGTACCAAAAAACTTGCAAAGCTAAAATTAAGAAATGAAGCGAACAATGAGCACTGATGCAATTACTGTGTAATGGGCAGATGGCATTCAAGGAGGCACATAGTTCAGTTCAGGGTGCAATTTTATCCTGAATCTTTCCTTTAATGCCAAGATTAAGCAAAGTGATAAGTAATGCGATTCACTGATGTTGGACACTTAACTGCCTTCTGTTTAGTAGAAGTGTAAGGAGGTATTTGTTTATTTGTTATTATCGTATAACGAAAGGGTATAAAGAACTAGAGTGAAGTAATGTTAGGGCATAGCACATAAATCTTTTAACGCTGTGGGTTTATTTGCAGTTTGGTTTTTTAACCAGGATAATCTTCTGTCAGTGAAACATACCAATACTGTAGATGTTATTTGCCATAATAAACCAGGGTCTAAGCACTAGACTATGTCATATATTTTAAAATTAAGCATTCAGCAAATATTATCATCATCATCATTATTTATTTATTAAAACAATCATGCAAGGCAACAAGGATTTATAATGCATCCCATTCAGATATTACCAAGTTTTTTGTGTGCATTTATAGTATGATTAGTGGTGTAACTTGTCCAAGGTTGGAAGGACCTAGAACTGTTGTTCAAACCATTATCTCCAGCAAGTATTCTTGTCTCATTGTCCTTGATCACTTAACTACCTCTGAGTGATAATAAGAGGGCCTTATTCCACATGCTTTCTGAGTTTAAACTAACGGAAAAATCACTTTAGTCTACCAATAATTGTACAAGAGTGTTCTAGCTGTGGTGATATTGTTTTTGTGTTGCTATTATGTTGAACATTAGGTCAATAATATTGATTAGAGTTTACAAGGTGATGCATTGTCTTTCATAAAATGCACACAAACCACCATCTGCTATAAAAAAAAGAAAGTAAGATGCATGCTTGGTTTAAAACATAAATCGAGTTTAGGGTACATTGTACAAATAAATATTTTTATAAATAATTAGAATCATCCCAAATCTAATTTCAAACACTATGCCATGAAAAGATGGTCGGATGCCAGTCCATCACTCCTTCGCCTAATACAAATGCTCCAATAAATAAATAAATACACAAAGAATAATGTTCAATTACCAAAGGAAAGCTGTGGTCAGTTTAAATAACCATTAATGTGCAGAGAAATTTAAAAGAGCATGATTTTGCCTTGCATCTGCTTGGATGACTAGAGTAAACATTCTGGTTTACACCATATGTTGCCCTGTCTGCATCATAATGTTTATGTTGCCTTGCAATTGTCATACCTGAGTTATGGCTGGTCTTATCTTTACAACTGTCTCTTGCAAGCCTGGCTTAGATGTCAAAAGCTTTCTTTGATAGTCAGCCATCCTTATATTAGCTCATGATTAATTAATTAACAACCAACCACCCCCACAGATAATAGTATAAAATTAGAGAACATTTATGGGGATAGCACTTTGCTAGGGGGCACTTTGCTAGGGGGGACATTGCTGGAGTTCTTTCCTTTAGTGATTCTTTCTCTAAGTGATTCTTTATAGAAGTGATATGCACTTCATGCTCTGCACCTTAGCGATTGCATGAAGTGAACATACATTGCTAACTGCATTGAAAAGTGCCAATCAAGCAGCAGGTGACCCTTTCTCTATTCAGCATTCTTTTCTCTTGGTAGCATGCACCTTCTACCACTTCTTCTGACAATTGTATCTTCTCTCCTTAAACTCTCTCTTCTTCACCCCACACCTTATGTACATCACCCTCCCTTCTGCCTCTCCCTATTACTGTACCCACCAACCCCTGTTAATTCTAAATCTACATGCTAAAAAAAACCTCCAGGACACTGAGGCATGTCCCCTCATACAAATCACACTCCCATATTACCTCCCCTACTTCCCTCTTCCATGGTCTTTTCTGGACTCACTCCCCCAGATCCAGTGGACAGAAGAGAGGTGGAATAGGAATCCTCCTATCCACACAGAGCACCTATGAGGTACTTCACCCACCTCCCTCTCTGACACTCTCTTCTCTTCAGTCATATTGTATTCATCTATTTTCCACCTTTTCTCTAAGAATTCCTGCAATCTACCTGCCCCTTGGACAAGGATCAACATTCCTTGATGACTGGTTACCCTGCTTTCTGTCTTCTGAAATCCTCACAATCATTCTCAGTGGCGTTAACATCCCTGTTAATGCGAATACTCCTGCTACTTCTAAACTTCTTAGTCTAGCCTCCTCTATTGACATGAAGCAATGGATACAGGCTTCTACTCACTCCAATGGCAATACCCTTGACCTTGTATTCTCCTATCTTTGCACTCCATGCAACCTCTCCAACAATCCACTCCCACCCTCTGATCATCATCACCTTATTAGTTTAACTCTCTCCCTGTCTTCCACCTCCTCTCCTCCAGTTACCCATAGAAACCTTCACCACCTCAACTCTTCTCTACTCTGCTATTGACCACCTCCACAACAAAATCTCACAACTGTTCTGCCCCAATTTAGCCACTTCTGTCTACAGCAGCTCACTGTCATCCTCCCTAGAAAAGCTTTCCCCCCTCACTACACACACGATCAAGCCCCAACCCCTACAACCTTGGCAAACAGATGACACCAAAAATCTCGTAGCCACACTCCTGAGCATCTGTAGCTGAAGACTAAGCCTCAGAAAGATTTCAATCTATATAAATCTACCCTCCAGAAATACTATTCCTGCCTCCTCACTGCCAAGTAGACTTTGAAGTGCCAAGTAGAATTTGTGAGGAGATCTCAGATGTGCAGATACCTCCACCACATAACACTCCATGTCCACAGGTGCAATCACTACTTCCCACATTCAACCCCACTGCTATAGATGAGGTTGCAAAACTTTTTTCTAATGCTCACCTAACCACCTGTCCCCTGGACCCTGTTCTATCCTCTGGCTCTATCCTACACTCTCTAACACACACCTTCAATCTCTCCCTCTCTTCCGGCATCTTCCCCAACTCTCTAAACCATGCACTAGTTACCCCCATATTTAAAAAGTCCACACTAGACCCCACCGGTCTTAATAACCTACGTCCCATCTCCTTACCCTGCTTTTCCTCCAAACTCCCATGGCTTTGAATACCATTTCTATGCTGATGACTCCCAAATCTATCTCTCTGCCCCTCAGCTCACTCCATCAGTCTCCACAC